ATCGAGGAAAACAGACAGAAGTTGGAAAACCACCCCAAGGCTCCTGAGTCTGTAGGCTCTGATTAGAAACTGGAGATTTCCTGCATGGTTATGACATTGCTAGGATCATTTTCTTCATCCAGACACAAGCCCTACAAAGAGGAATTGATACAGTTGCTTTTGCTGGAGATCCAGTTACTTACAGACCACTTGGAGGGTCTTTCACTTTGAAAACCATAGTTTAATAGTTTGCCTCTGGAATTCCTGGTTTGCTCATCTGTCTGGTGAGGAATGTTTTGCACTGGAGCTTGGAAAGTTGTGGGGAAGTTTTGATCTGTATCATCACTCCTCTTCTTCCTATCCTTATCAGCGTAGACAGAAAGACATTCTTCAAAGATCAGTAAGTTACCACTGGGCCAGTGAAATAAGTTAGCGGAGAAACAAGCCACCAAGCCTGATGGGACCTGAACTTGATCCCTGCAACCCACGTGGTGGGAGGAGAGAACCAACTCGCAGAAGTTGCCAGCTGACCTCCACCTTTGTTTCAGGGGCTGAGCATGTACATAAAGGAATGAATTTATGTTAGAGCAGCGTAAGAGTGCACAGTGAACTGTGTGTGGACCCGTCTCCAGCTGTCTTCCCACCTGTCCATCTCTCCATGTAACCCTCCTCTCCAGGGCCCATCCCTTCCAGCACCTGCCTGCTCCTTTGCTTGGTGGTCCCTCAGCTATTCTGTCACTCAAGTCTCCCGTCTTTATCTCCCCTCCCCCTACACCAGGTGAACGGTCTCCGAGTGGATCTCCCAGCCCAGGTGTTAACATCTGTGTCCGTGAGGAGGATGCCTGATGGCTCCGTGCTCGTCCACCAGAAGGCAGGGGTCCAGGTCTGGCTTGGAACAGACGGGCAGCTAAATGTGATGGTCGGTGACGACCACGCGGCCATGGTGTGTGGGGCCTGTGGAAACTTCGATGGGGACCAGACCAATGATATGCTTGACTCTGAGGGGAAGAAACCGATGGAGAAGTGGGAGGCACAGGACTTCTCCCCATGGTGAGGATGGGGAATGGAAGCCAGACTTTTGGGAACTGGGGAAAGACGTAGCATGGGTGGGTGCTCAGTCTGCAGGATGCTGTACTAAGTGTCTGTCTCTTGCAGTTCCAACTGATCAGTCATCACTGACGGACTCCTCAAGACCTGCCTCTTCCAGAAGTTACA